CTTTTTTTGAGTGTCAGAAAAACAAATATGTCATGGTTCTTAAAAACAGCCCTGCATTTCAGAATGTCCTGAGCAAAAAAGAATGACAGAGATTATTCGTTTTCCTGCTTCTTGTAAACTCCTCCGTTTTGAGGGGAATTTGGAAAATTCCACTTACCTCGGTGTCAGAATATCATGATGTGCATGACATTATGTTTTTTCTCTCTTTCTGGCAGACAGTTCCACGTCTCTCACGGTTTATGACCTGCTGACACAGACCAACTTCACAGGGAACCTGAGGTCATAAACGTCGTCTGAGGGCACGGAGAAGCGGTTCCCCATTCACGATTTGACCACATTCATGGGACACCAAGATTTCATGAAGTGAATGTGAACAGAGTTGGGGGCGGGGGGCTTTTCTGCCCATTTATGCTAACACGGTAGTATGGCTTTTAACTGTTGAACTGTAATCCTGTGAGTCACAGTCCCGTCTCACGATTCAGGGACAAAAATCACTTTGAGAATTTTGTTGGTCTTTTCTGAGCATGGTGTGGGATCCACAGAGTGACAGGATTTTTACACCAGTAAAGGGATAAAAAAAAGCCCTGCTTTGGCCATGCTGGTCTCACAAATCAAGTCAAAAAAATGCATATATAGTATTTTAGTCGTCAGTAATGGATTCAGACGTGAGGCTGGGGGGGGATGAAGTGGATGAAAGTTCAACTACGTGCTGAAAAATACATCGAGCTTTGGAGTGGGGGGGGTGGTTATTGAGATCTGTGGGGGAGGGTCCCCTGGGTCATTACTATAACGTTCAGGGGGAACGTGCCGGAAGGAGACTTCCGGATGTTCTCTCCCCAGTATATCAGTTGCCGGGCATATGGAGGAAGGAGGGACTCACCTGGGAGTAGGAAGGCAAGCTCTCACTCGAGCATAGATTGTGGCGACAGTTTGTACACTGGGGGCCGAAACAGGCAATGCTATGCTGACTGCTGGTCAAAGGGCAATGAAATCCCCCCTCCCCAGGCCATCTCAGGTGGTTAATGCGATGGATCATCAGAATTCTCCTTACAAGCAGCTTAGCTGTGTATTAAAAAGTCCACGTGAAGAGACGAGCCTTCAAAGGCATTCGCTATGGGAATCTTCTTTCTGCCCTCCATAAATGGTCATTCGCTATGGGAATCTTCTTTCTGCCCTCCATAAATGGTCATTCGCTATGGGAATCTTCTTTCTGCCCTCCATAAATGGTCTTCAGCATTGTACAGTGGTATAGGAACCAAAGGGGACAAGGGGGACTAATTTGGAATTCTGTATTATATAGTGGACACTGTTTTATAAGCGCTAAGATGTGAGCCAGAGACTTGGAAGGTGTGGGTCCTGTTAGTTGGCGCAGAAAGAGGGCTGGGAAAGATCTGAGAGCCCTAGTGTACTGTGTCAAAGCTAATCAGACTGCTAATCCCACACTTCTCACTGATAATCCCCACTGCCTAGCCTGTCATGCTAAGCAGTTTACCGTTTCATTTCGTGCATTTCCAAACAGGCTTCTGTGCGGACCGCCCTCTGACCGTGGAGTTTCCCGGTCAAAACACAGCTGATGAAAGCCAGTCTGTCTCAGGGAAGATGGGATTTTGTTTCTTTATGAAATTAAAGACATCCCAGAAATTTGAAAGGCATGTTGTTTTGTTGAACGTCGTCGTTTTCCAGAATTGCATACGCTGCCATTAAAATGACTCACTGCTTCACTTCGTGAATTATATAGACAAGTAAATTTTTAAAATGAAAAAGAATTTCACAAACTTTGCTCTGTTTGGTTTATTTCTTGAATGTGAAAATTGTACAATAATCAGTTTCCTAAAGTAATACACACAGAAAGAACAGTTAGAGTTGTGTATTCAGTTATAATATATATTTTTTTTAATTCTATTAATATGTTAATTAGTATGTTTTTTCCACTTGTATAAATATAACTAAATGGAAATCTTATTGTAAATGTAGTGTAATGTGTAAGTTCATCCATATATCATGATGAAGTGTTTTGGTCCTGCCCGAATATTTACCCCAACATAACTTTAAAGATGAGGTGACTGTCCAGTAGCTGAAAGCTAGCATGGAAATCCACAGCATCTCTCTGCACAGCTGCGGCAAAACCTTCAAATGAAGCCCCACTTTGGGTGCCAACTGATTTCTTGGGCCTTTGAAAGCCTAGCCGCTTCCTCTGGTTTGTTTCCGGACCACTTAATATCTCCTGCACTGACACGAACGAAAACAGGCCCTGACTCACAAGGCTTGACTGAGTCCACCGTCGGCGGCTGCAATTATGAGAGTCTCGGGGTCTGAAGTTAATAAAGTTTATTTGATTTTATTTGCACTGCGGTCATCCATTTTTGCAGTTTTCTCTGAGGGCGGCAGTGCTGCTATGCAGAGGAATCTGGCCAACAAACACTGAAATGCATGACTATATGATTCCCTCTAGGCCAGTCCAGCTGAGGCCAGAGAATCTTAGCCAATCAGAGAGCCCCTGTGACTGTTTTCTGCATTCCTGTTTGTGCATTTTTAGGAAAAATACAACAGCTAGATAGATCTACAGGACTTTCGATACAGAGAACATACCATGCATGATGCTAGGCTGCTCTACTATAGAAATTTCAGGTAAGAGCTTTGTTCACGTTTGAGCCAAATTCAACTTGGGAAAATGGTATTAAACTGAAAATGTGAGGAACAAGAAGACGAGTGTTCCCTCCCAGGAGTAGCACACAAGGCGTATGGAAAGAGATGGCTGCCCTTGTTGATACGATCCACATGACACCTCCTCCAGCGTGCTTTCGAAGTGAGGGGTTTCCATGGCGACAGGCACAAGTGCACCGCTTGCTTTCATTTAAAAAACTCTCATTTCCCGCTCTGCGAGCCGAAAAACTGTTTACCCAAATAAAAAAACAGCCCGGCAAAATTAAACGTAGAGTCAACTTTGAAAATATTTGAGGTGGCAAAGTCTTTATTTTCCTTTTATTAAATGTTGATTAATATTCAGCGGTTGAACGTTAATGTGCTGCGTTGAGCGTGTTCCCTGGCACCCCGCAGCGTGATTCCGGGCCGGGTCCTATGATTCGGCTGCTAACGTGTAGAAATCTGTTTCCAATCAGAACTGGGCCCCTATTACTGAATAAGCTCATTTTCATTTCTTTGAGACGTGTGTAATTGTTGAAAAATTGGGTGTCTTTCATGCCCCGACTAAAGCACACATGTCAGAATGACACCTTATTGCTTTTGTCAAATTTCCTTTCGGTGAAATCTGCAGCGTTAATTACGGGGAGAGAAGCTCTTGAATTACTTGCCTGGAAAATCTGTCGCACCATGGCCAGGCGGATCTCGCGTGTCTTACAGTGATATAGCAATCTGTGGGCTTCTCTAAACAGTACGCTGAGCTTGTCACTGGGTCAGCCGGGAGAGACGCAAGCCTTTCACGCATCCAGCCACGTCTGGACCAATTGCATTGTGTGTCTGCTGCAATGACCCAATCAGTTTTTGACATCGAAGAAAGGCTGCTCAGTTTGTCATTATTACACCTGGATGTGTGGAAATGTGAACCTTAGAATGGCTGCAGTGATGACTCCCTGATAGCTGAATCCCTGGTTTTGTGGCTTTACATCCAGAGGTGGACATCACAGGTCCAGAAAGTAAAAATCCAGACCGGGATTTTGCTTCAACCAGCTAGTTGAGCATAAAGAGTCACAGTCACAGAGTACTCAGCTGGTCGGTTGAAATGAAATCCTGGTCTGGATTTTTACTTTCTGGGCATGAAATGTCCATCTCTGTTTATGTCCTGCACGGAGCACTAGGTACGTGCTTGATCGAGCTACATTTCCTCGACCAGGACTAAAGATAAGAAAAGACAAAACAAGACAAGATAAAATGAAACTTGATTTATCCTGAGGGAAATTGTTGGGCCATGGCTCTCACCATGCTTAGAAATACCCGTGTGGGAGAAGTTATAGAATTTAATGATCGCAGGGAGGACGGATCTGCTGTGAGGCTTGATGGAGCACCTTGACATACGCTGCCTGCTGAAGCAGCCCTGATAGCTATTCAGGGTGACATGAGAGGATGGGATGCTCACAGAAACCGCTAGAAAAAAAAAATTTATGCACTATCTGCACATTTGTTCCTGTTTATCATTCAGGCTGACCTGGGACATGTAGATAGGCCAGCATCTGCAGTGGCCGACCCCGTGGGGATTGGGGCTGGGTGTGTGGGTGTCGCTGTCAGCACCCTCCCCCCGGTCCCCTAAGCGGTGATTTAAATTGGACCCAATGAGGGATGGGGGCTAACGAGTGCCACCAGACGCCTGCAAGAGTGAGTCATTCACTGATAAACTGCCTAAGCTGTTACCAAATTAACTTTGGGGTCACCCCTGTAAATTTATTGAGATGATAGTGGGAGGTGGCAATTGTTCAGGGAGGGAGGGGCCCTGATGTAAGCCACATCTCGGGTTACCAGCTAACAGCCCCAAAAAGTCCTCCGGATATGAGTTATGGAGTGACCTCCTTCTCTGGTTTGGCCAGAAGCTACAGGATCCCCGACGATCAAATCACAAGATCTAAAGATCACCAGCACAGTAGATCCTTTCCCCAACACCCACACCAGAAGCAACCAGTCAGCCCTTGGATCTGGGAAGCCGACCATGCAAAGCTTCTCTGAGCCGTGGTTATCTGGATTTCCTATGAAAGAGCTTTATACACACAATGGCATGCAGGGCTGACTGGTCACCAACCCTGCTCTTGGAAATCTACTACCATGCAGAGCTTAGGTGTCAGGTCTTTCAGCAGCATCTCAGTATTAGAGCCAGCTTAGCTTCAGAATAGTTGGCTGCAATGCTTATTTGTATCAGGTGTGTTAAATTAAAACTGCACCTAAAGCTCTACAGGGTGGTAGATCTCCAGGAGAAGGGTTTGGTGCCAGTAAAGCTGGAAGCACCTGCATAACTTTCAGATCCATCCTTGGGCTGTGCAGGGCCAGGACCTAACTGGAGAAGCAAGCAAGAATCCCTCGGATGACAGAGGAAAACCCACGGAGATGGTAGCCAGGGGTTCGCACTGCCAACAGCTGTCCTGAGCCGAAGCCTCTGAGAGAAAGGTAAGCCCCTAATTTTACAGAAGCAACAAAAGCCCCCAAGCTCTTGTAACATGCCTCCCCAACTGCCAACACACGGCACAGCCTTGCCCACATGTCCCTCTGCACACCTTCACACCTTGTCCCCCCAAATGCTAATCATCAACAAATAACGACACACGGAGTGCAGATCCCGACAGCTCATACCTCCCGGCTCTCCCGCCCTCATCCGCCTCTTAATATCAATTTGTCACAACACGCCGTACAATGTCCTTCCCTCACACTGTCATTCATTAACCATCCCAATAAAAAGGTCAAAGTTCATCCTGGAGTCCTTTCTATCACCCATAGTGGCCCCTGAGCTTGCCTGTCCCTCATTAGTGATTTTATCGGTTTGGTGTTCCTCGTCTTCAGCTCTTAAAAAGGCAGTTTTTTTTTTTACTTTACTTCAACCATTTCCTTGGTTACGTTACTTATTTTTGGTTAACGGTTCTCAAAGATACTACAGTCCTCTCAAGAATAATGATGGCATCCACAGTGAAATACTAACAGGGTGTTTTAAAATGGGCATGTCTACATGTGTGTTTTAATAACTTGCTAGCAGCAAGCTGGCAGTCTTTGTGCAGAGATTCAAGCCCGTTAATCGTGACATTTTAACAGCAGCATGCTTGCATCGGCCTAATTTGGAACTGGGTTGTGTGGCTGTGAGGGTTTCGAGTCTGGCTTGCTTCATGACCTGCCCAGAGCGGTCAGATTCCTCTCTATCTCGCCCTTTGAAGGAGGCAGAAGTCTCCAGGCAACCTGGGCAATAAATGGGGGCCCCGGAGTGTCCCCTCCTCTGCCAGTCGCTCGTAAAGTTGCCACGTCCTGTAAAGCACTGAATAGGATACTTATTATAGTGTTCTGCGTTGGTGAACTTTATTTTTACGAGACTTTAATAAGTTTCCCTGGGGCTGCTTTAATTTCTGCGGCTTATGCTACGAATGGATTCCGTTTTCATGCCCCCCCCCCCCTCCCCAACTCGTCCATTGCTAATGTTGACTGCTGGAACCGTGCTTCAGTTCTGTCCCCTCATTATCTACTATGTGGCCTTTACGTGCTCACAGTCCAAATTTGGCTCCCAGGTATGTCAACTGTGTAGCAGGGAACAAGCGTTGGCAAACAACGGAATGGTAATGAAACAAATGTATGTCCTTTATTGCCATTTTCACAATGTTTTAAGAAAGAACTTGCTGGTGATTAGCTGATGCTTCCATCCATAGAAACTTTCAGTTTGTTGATCATTTTTGTGGCATTTGCATGAGTATTGTACAGTACAGGTAGACTGGAATGCTTATCCCAGGGTCTTACTCCAGGACCAGACATATGATTATTCTGTCAAGGACGAGACTTGAATCCACACCTTTCCAATCACAGGCTCAGCTGCATAGTGCCCCTTCCTTGTTTGTTACAGTTGGATGGTTTACCCACACGATTCAGGTTGAGATCCTTGATGAAAGGTTCTGCAAGGACCTCCTGTGGCTTGGAAACCTTCAGATTACCATTATTACCTGGAATCAGGAACCGAACTCGATGAGTCCTGTGTAATCAACCACCGTGTTAAACACATGCTACTCACTTTTAAGCAAACGTGAATTTTTGCTGTTTTTTTTTCCAGAAGACACTTTCAGTTTATGTAACGATATTTTTATACAAATCATGTGTGCATCTGTGTATGTGTTTGCAATATCTTGTATCCACGATCATCAGGATGCCTCATTACTCACATGACATGGGAAAATTGCGTCCATATGCGAGAACAGGGCAGATGAACGACAGTGATCTACGACATGTCAAAAGCCGCCTAGCAGTGCTGCACTGCACCCCTGAAACTCACGAGTGCATCTTGGCGGCGAGGTTCCCGAGCAGGTCACATGACCATGACATCATAAGTCTGCTAATCCCTTGGCCTGTGTTTTTGCATGGGGGCTTTTCTCTTCAGCCGTGCTGACTGACGCGCCAGTGCCCTTGTGTCCCACGTGGAACCGCTTAAAGGCCGTTTATGACGTATCGCTAGCGGCCGGGAGACTGACGAATAACCATTTGTCTTATTAGGCTGGGGCGGCTTTTCCAGCATGCTAGTGGGACGAGGGGGGGGTGGACGGCCTGAAAGCTGGCCTGTGGTCAGAGACGATGCTGGGGTGCACTCCTGAACTCCCACTGGGGCGGCGATGTGGGTACGAGAGACTCTGAAGATTCCCATGATGCCTTGCTAGTTCTATAGAAAGATGCGTACCTGTTTCTAGGGTTCATTTAATGCACATGCACCATCTGTGCTGATTTCAACAGTTTGTGCCAGGTGTAGTGTTATCGTCCCTCCCGGGAGTGCTTGCAAATACAGGCCGACATCTCAGCCAGAGGCCCCTCCACCCACGCAACCCCACCCCCACAAAGCATAGCTTCATTCCTTCAGATGCTACAATCATAAGCTCCATCATGGAGCGAGTGTGCAGACGCAAGCACGCCCAAAACTCGGTTGGGACCCCTAGACGCACTCCCTCTGCGAGAGCCTTGCCCGCTTTGAGCTCGTCTCAGAATAATCGCTTCCATATTGTGAGAGATATCACAAAGTAGACTTGGAATGGCGTTCATCCCTCGTCGACTCTTTCCGCAAAAATCTCCAGGAGCGGTTCTGGTGATGGTATCCTACACGGTGGTCAGTCCTGGCCTTCCCTTTCTGTCCTCCGCAAAAGAGCAGAGGAGCCTATGGTCTGTGAAACAGTCGCATACCGGGGCTTTGCGGATGGCCGGAGTGTTGTCCGATTTCAACGCGGGCGAGTTTGGCCATCTCTGCCTGATCGGGGAGTCGGCAGTGACAATGCAGTGGGGTAGGAGGAAGGAAACGGGCCTGCCCGAATGACGGACGCGTGACTCTCACTAACGGCTGGTCTGTTCATCACCCCATGTGGCAGGATCACTGTCCTCAGGGTGGCAGGAAGGAGGGAGTGCTTCATTCGGCGGGCCTTGCTTTCTTCTCAAGAACTTTGACATCATGCTTCTCTGTCATATTTGAAGGTGATTTATAGCAGGGGGCGGAGGGAGAACAGTTTTGGGGTTATAATGGTGGGGGGGGGGGGGCATTACTTCATTGAGAATGTCCCTGAGGCTAATGCCCTGAAGACATTTATCAGGACCCATCTGGGTTCTCACAGTTTGCAGGGGCTGTCTGAGATGTGCCTGTTTAAAACATCCGACAAGGCAAAGCAGATGAAGCAAATCCAGAGTCTATACCATGAAAGGTACATATGAACAAATGTACCCTTGTAGAAAGATATATATTGCAGGCATATGCTCATAATTACATGACTTATATGTATCTGTGTGGAGTCATTGTTTTTGTGAGTGGCGCATTAATTTTTACCTAAAATAGCTGTTCAGGCTTTTGTGACAGAAAAATTATACTTCAATTTTGATATGAGCAGCTGAGCAGTAGCAGTCTGATATAAATAAAGAAGATATTTAGCTAATGACTGGACAGCATGGTGCCGTGATCACGGGTTTTCTTTTTCTACTGGCCATGTGTAGGTTCCCGGTGAGCACCGGAGGAATTCAGTGACCTCGTACCCCCTGTCAGGGATGTGGAGTTTCCAGGGCACCAGTTTAGTTAATTTCACTGCTTTGAGACGGCTGACTGGTGAGAGACGGTAATCCGTTCTGCAGTGACGTCCTCACGCAACGCTCCTCGTGATTTAGCACCCATGATTATTAAGTCATAAGTTAATTAACACTCGGAATTAAAAATGATTCATATTCGAACTCGGATATTAGCAGCACAGTCACTTTCACCACTTTACTCGTCTTTTCTAAGCAGAACATAATGTTCATTTCCTCATACGTACCTTAAATCGGCGTGTAGGAAGCAAGGCTTGCGGTTTAGACTTTTTTACGTGTAGTTTTGTTTCCGTTTATGTAAAACAGCTTGCATGGGCCACACCTTACTTCAGGGGGCACAAGTAATGTAGCCCTTATACTATTACTTATGTACTAATTAACCACAAAGAAAGTTTTAATTACAAACTGATCTCATGTTAATTCATCATTAATGAATCATGGTGCATCTTTTATCTTAAACAGTTACTATATTTGTCACTATACAGTATCTGTTTATTCTGTAAATCTTTGTGAACTACTGAAGGAACTACTAAGGAACTACTGAAGGAACAAGTCATGAACAACAAAATACCTCGTTTATCCATCATCAATGTATCGTGATGCATCTTTTATCTCAAATAGCTACTGTATTTGTTCATGTTCTGCACTTCAGTAGTTACTGAGTTTCTGCTACGTATTTGTGCCCCGGTAAGTGGTACCCTAACCTGTACAACCTCACAGCCCCCAGACCAAAAAAGGCCATCTTTCAATTGTCAGGTCTATCTGATAGATCAAAATGAGGGATTATATCACCCGCAGAAGAGACCCTCAGACAGCACCCTCACACCTTTCACCCCAGCGTCAGCCTGAAAGCTGTTAAGCTGTTTATGGCTTCTTGCTAAACGGTATAATCAGGGAGAACCAAGAGGGTTTAGCACCTACTTAACCTCCCAGCAAGTGGCCCATCTCTAATCCCGGGTGCATGATTTAAAATGCGGCTTTACTGCATTTTTACAGCGGTGCTCAAAACCAGTCGTCAGCGGTAAGGATGCGCTCGGTGGAAATGAATGACGCGCTTTGCGCGTAGGAAAATCGGACTGTAAAAATAGGAACTACAACAACTGTCAACTTCACAGTCACTTGTGAAATGCACTGAAATGGGGTTAGAGGCCTGACCTGATTCCTTACCTGTGATTTTAGTGAACAAAACAGCTCATTTATGCCACACTCATCCCCAAAGAAGAGGCAGCTTAATGATTGTAGGAGACTCAGTTCAGGCATTAAATGTCGATACAAAAAAAAATAAAATTTTTAAATGTCGATACAGTGCTCTGGGCGCTTCTGCTTGTCTCTGGCTGCAATTCAGTCCTTTTCATAGAAACTGGGGCCTGCCG